CACCATGTGTGTGCACTGGCGATAGAGTCCAGAAGAAGTTGTCAAATCCCCTGGAATGTTACAGTATGATTGCTGGATGGCATGTGTATGCTGTGAATCAAATCAACCAGTGTTCTTAACCACTGAGCCATCTCTCCAGCCACCTGCTAAGGTGTTTTTTTTTTAAATGTCCCTTAATTTCAGTTTGTTTCAGACATTCATTAGATTAAAGTTATGAATTTTGCCGTGGCTGTAACAAAATGTGTTTATTTGTCATAGATCAATTAGTATTAGTGATTTTAGTTTGGATTACTTGTTTGTGTTAGTGTCTCTTAGGTTTCTTTTATCTATCCAGTAGTTTAAGTTATTTTTTACTTTTTTTGTACTTTACTGGTTTTTTTTCCTAACTCAGCTATTGTTAGGAAGTGAGTGATCATTTACTCACTTTAAATACAAGCTACTTTTCTTATCAAATTAAAAAATTAGATTTTGTGAGGTAGTAGTGACCTGTGCTTCTAATCCTACACTTGGGAGGCAAAATCAAGCAAATCTCTGAGTTTGAGGACTACCTGGTCTACAGAGTGAGTTCTGGGACAGCCAGGGTTACCCATAGAGACCCTGTCTGGGGTGAAAATTAGATCTCTTAAATTAACAAAAAATATTTCATGTTTGTTAGCTGCATTTGACTTTTGAGTGTTTTGCTTTGCTTTTTTTCCAGGCACTTGCCTCAGCTGAGAGCTTCTGTTCATTTTTTTGCTGGGTGCTATGGTTTCTTAAATGCCTTTGTGGCTCATTTGCAGACTTAGGTCTGGTTATGGAAATGATACTAATGGTGATAAGCCTTCAGATCATTAGAAGGAAAATTGGCAGTTTGCCTATGATACAAAAGAAGCTGCAGGGCCTCCTTTGGGTAGTGGAAAGAAGGAGTCTTAGCTCTGTCAAAAGAATAGGATACTGAGGGTTTCTCTCCTCAGGCATACTTCTGGTCCTGGCCTGGGCTCTTCTTTCATCTCTCCAGTGTTTTTGGCTTAGCTTGGGGTAGAGAGCACTTAGACTACATGGTTGTTTTCCTCAAAGACTCAGGAGCTTTCCTATATCAGTGTCTCTGCTTACTGGATGTATTTTGCTAATGATGGAAAATGGGGGAAGGATTTTTCCCTAAGTTATTTTTTAAAGTGACGGTCATTAAAGTAAAAATTTAATTTTCTGAATCACTTTGGATTATAACATAAAAGAGTGTCTAATGACTTTCTGCATAAATAATCCTTTCATAGGTGCACTGGATGGTGATCCTTTGTATGTAAATCATATTTCCTTCAACTTTCTTTAGCACATGTAATTGCGATGCCAGTTGTGTGCTAAATTCTCATTTTATAACAATTGTGTGGTAACTCCTCATTTTATAACAAGTCAATGAGATCATTGGCAGCCTATCATTTCTGAGTCTCATCTTCTGACCTGTAGCAGATAGCCTACAAATACCTTCTTGTGAATATATACTTTGAGACACAGCCTTACCTTTTGGTAGTGTAAATGTAAGTTTTGTTCTCTCTGTCTCATTCCCTTTTTGTCTCACTTGCTCTTTTATGGGTTGTGTGTGTGTATTCATGTGTAGGTGTGTGTATGCTTATCAGTTTTCACCTTGTATCTTGTTTGAGACAGTCTCAGGTTTTTAACTAATAGTGCAAATGCTAGGCTAGCCTCCAGGAATTCTCGTGTGGTTTACTGATGTGTATTTCCTGGCTGTCTTTTTGTGCATACAGGGATCAGAACTCAGGTCCTCATGTCTGAGAGGCATACACTTTACCCATTGAGCCATCTCTCAGCTTTATTACTGTTTTGAAAGAAATGGATTATATATTTTGGGGAGACAAGTTTTCTTGGTGGACTTTACTAAGCACTGGTAATTTCCAATTGTATTCCCATCCTGAATGATCCTTATTGTATCCAGGAGCATCTATCTCAGTATCTATTTGAAGTTCTCATTTGAAAACATCTTAAATCTAATATACTCCCTATTTCTTTGCTTGCTCCTTACTTTTTCTCTATCTTTTAGAAGACAGGGTACTATGATGTTTCTTTTTTTAAAAAATCATGTAGGTATAATTGTTGTATTCCTGTGCATGAAGAATTGGGGAGGGAAACATTGCATTTCACAACATGCTTGTGGAGGTTAGGGGGACAACTTAAAAATTGATTCTCTCCTTATGTGGGTGGGTTCTGTGGATCAGATCTTCTCATCCAAGCTCCTTTCTTCACTGAGAAGCCTTGCCAGTTTAACATTTCTCTTCCTTTTAATCTAGTTCATCACTAAGTCTTGTGTCTACACTTTAAATATTGGTTCAGTTTCTCACTGACTTTGCCTTTTTAAAAGTTATTCATTTTGTCTTAACCTTCTCAACTTACTGGCATTCTTGGTGCTCTTATTTCAATTTAATGATTATTTATTTATTTATTTATTTGTTTGTTTGTGAGACAAGATTTCCTATATATTTCTGTCTCACTTAGCGCTCATGGTTTTTATGCCTCAGCTCCTCAGGTGCAGAGATTATAGGTGGTATGCCACCAAGACTGGCTTTATTTCAGATTTCAAACCAGTCATTCACTGTTAGGAAAAATTAACTTTTTATTTTTGTTTTATTGTGTTGGGTAACCAGCACACTATTATCTTAGCTTTCAATGATTTTTGAAATTCCACTCATGTAAGTTTTTAGCTTTTTGTTGGACTATAATTAACATTTATTCATAGTAAAATGTTCTAACATCAATATTTTTTGAAGAGTTTGAGAGGTGTAAGAAATTTCAGGTGTGATGTGTGTTTCGCCTTGTCCATTTTGCTTCTGAAATTGATGTTCAAAAATAGAGTGTATAGAACTGATTCTTTCTGTTTTTTTTTTTTGTTTTTGTTTTGGTTTTTCGAGACAGGGTTTCTCTGTGGCTTTGGAGCCTCTCCTGGAACTAGCTCTTGTAGACCAGGCTGGAACTCACAGAGATCTGCCTGCCTCTGCCTCCCAACTGCTGGGATTAAAGGCAGGCCCCACTACCGCCCGGCAGAACTGATTCTTTGGGCCAGCAAAATGGCTCAGTAGGTGAAAGTGCTTGCTCAAGTGCGATGAGCTGATTTGAACTCTGGAACCTATAAGGTAGAAGGAGGAAAGTGATTTCACAAGTCGACTGCCCCCCCCCCCCCACACACACACACAGCAAAGGTTTTTAAAAAGAGACCAGCCTGGTCTACAAGAGCTAGTTCCAGGACAGGCTCCAAAATCACAGAGAAACCCTGTCTCGAAAAACCAAAAAAAAAAAAAAAAAAAAAGTGAGGAAAACAACTCTGAACTCACCTGGCATTATCAGTCTTTTATTCTGCGTTCTGGGCTGCCATGGGGTCCTTGGTGTCCTAGTTAGAATACACAGTCTAAATTCAGTTTTCTGTGGTTTTTATGTTGAACTTTTGATGTACTTGTCTGTTTACTAAGAAAAACATGTTATATTCTCCTATCATGAATTTACTATCTATTTCTTGTAATTCTATTTAGTATAAAGTTGTGTTTAGTATAGTTAGAGCTTTTGGAAACTTGAATGTACTGTTTATACCATTTAAATGTCTATCTGTAGCAGTAGACTTTATTTCGGATTATTGAATATTTTGTCTGACATTGTTTGGTCTATGTTGTAATATGTTTCTGCTATTTTTTAACTTTTCCTTGTTCGTGTGTTTTGGATTATTTCTCATAAATATGTAATATGAGTTAAAAATTCTTTAGTTTTCATTTTCATGGATCAATGTACATTTATGGTGACTCCTGTTATAAAAATGTAAGTATATTTATGTTCACCCTGTTTTCTAATCTATGATTTTTTAGTCTTCTCATCTCTTAGATTAGTGTGAATTTTTTCTTTTATACTTTATTATCTCTTTTTCTGTCCCCTGAATTGAAAGTTTATAAAGCTTTATAAAGAGAAATGAGTTAAGTATGCAATCTGTATATTTTGGTGAATCTTTAAAAGTTGATTACAGGAGCTGGAGAAATAGCCCAGGGTTAAGAGCACTGACTGCTCTTCTAGAGGTCCTGAGTTCAATTCCCAGCAACCACATGGTGGCTCACAGCCATCTATAACCCTTTTCTGGCCTGCAGGCATTTATGCAGGTAGAACACTGTATGCATAATAAATAAATTCTTTTTCAAAAAGTTTATTATACTTCAAACTGAAGCATTCTATTTCTTTTTAAATAATACATTATTCTCATTGTAACTGATTGCCTGTTATCATACATTCCTGTCTAATGTAGCCCTCTCATTCCTGTTCCCCCTTTCACCCCCTAGAATAGCAAACAGCCCCCATTGGAAGATAGTCTTGGGTCTTCTTTATTCTTGATGTGAAAAGTTACAGTGTACAGAATGTGAGAATAAATGATGAACATTTTTTAACCAAACTCATTTCAGAATTATAGTGAACTCTTTTTTTAAAATATTTATTTATTATGCATACAATATTCTGTCTGTGTGTATATCTGCAGGCCAGAAGAGGGCACCAGACCTCATTACAGATGGTCGTGAGCCACCATGTGGTTGCTGGAAATTGAACTCAGGACCTTTGGAAGAGCAGACAATGCTCTTAGCCACTGAGCCATCTCTCCAGTCCTATAGCGAACTCTTAATGTGCCTTTAATCTAATGCAATGTTGGCTCCATCTCAGTCAATAAAAGCTTTTAAATTGGTATATCACACTATTTAAATATCATTGGAACGACTAAAAAAAAACCCATAGTATTCTTATTTTAAATCTTTGTAGGAAATTAGGGAAGTAAAGAGGATATAAACTACCTTGAAATAGTCTTGTTTTTGGAGTTCCTTATTTAAAAGGTTTGTAACACTCATCTCACTGTGATACATAGAGATAATAATTAGTAATTGAAGAACTGTGCTTAGAGATGATTTGCAGTATATGTTCCTGTAGTTAAAAATCACTGCATAATGACTGTCTTCTGTTATAATATCTTTATTTATTTATTTTTTCAGGAGAGAACTAGAAACAAGCAATAACCACCGTGTGGAGATGTCCTGTTAAACGACAACACTAATGATGCAGACTCTGGAAATGCCTAAGACGTCAGAGAAGACTAAGTTAGCAAAGCTTTCTTTCTGCTTAAGGTGACATCTTTGAACATTTTAACACGAGATTGACTCTTCTTGTAATGGTTTTCATCAACGCATCTGCCCTTATACTCTCACCAAACACACTTGAGAACTGTAACTTCATCAAGCACTTTCTGTCCTGAAGCTTTGACCAGTACCTGCTGTCTTTTGTAATTATGCATCCTAGCTAAGGCACAGAAGACTGAATGAATGCAAGGATTCATTAACTCTTTGAATTTGTTAAGTACTAACAGTTAACCATTAGAAGTGGTTCAATGATGTAAGAGTCTCACTGCTTCAACCTTTTCTTTGTTGTAGTTTTTAAATTGTCAATTTTTAGCTATTTGACAGATTAAAAGCAAAATAATCATGCCATATTTAGTCCTGGAGTTGAAGTCTGAATGTTTATGTGAAAAATTATTGTAGTAAACTTTTAATATGGCAAAGCAACCTTATGCTCTATTTTAGCCAAAAGAAACATAATCTAAAATTATATTAGAATATTTCCCTTGTCTTCAAACTATTTGGTGTAACAGAATATTGATATGCAGCTTGGTGGACTTCACCAATTAATGCACACCCCTCCCCAATTATATGTACACTGAGAATGTGTATTGGTTTGAGGGATTAATTATTTTGTTTCTACCACTTAATGAATCTCAACATTTTGAGTAAATGTACCTCAGTCTAATCAGACTTTTTATGACCTTTATAACTACATTTAAAACCCTTCAATCCTGTTTCTGGGTGTTTGCGAGCGGATTGCTATCATGAATTAAAAATTTATTACTCTAGGTACTCAACTAGCTAAATAAACATAGTTCTTGTTTAGCAAGCATATACTGTTCCTCAACTCTTCAGCTTTTGCAGTGTCCTGGCATCCTTAAAATACTTGGAAAATATGGCCTTGATCCATGAATTAAATCAGTATCTAAGTGAATGTGTTGATGTTTTATTGATCAGATCTATATAAGTGGGAATACAGCATATAACTGGGTATTCTTATAATTACCTTTTTAACATCCTATTTTTTTCATTAATTACATATCAACATTAATTTTGTATCTTGAAACAAATTGATTTTGTATAATTCAATGTGTTGTGCATCTGTATTGAGTGATTTGATGGCATAAGGTTATGAAAATAATGTCCTGCCCCTTATCTTACTGTTTTGAAAGGAGAAAGCTATGTAGAATGATATGTTAAAGGTGAAAATAGCAATACAGTAGATTTGAATACCTTGATGTTTTGCGTTACTCCATTTATGTTTACATCGTGTTTAGAAATTTTCATTTGCTCTCGTCTTTGCTCACTTCAACTTGAAAGCCTCGTGATGGATATTTCTTTGAAACTTTGATTTATATAATTTTTGTACAATGTTTTAGAATGTGCAAATATTGTATTTTTATTAGAATACAGTATTTGTAGATAACCATAGCTACTTCACAGTTACTTGGTAGTCCCAGTGTGGTTATGTCAGTGTTTACTGAAGGGAACATCAAAATGTTAATGGTATATTAAAGAATGAGAACTTTCATAAAGGAAAATTGCACCTATTTTACCTTTTTGAGACTAAGCCATGAAATCTTGTAACGTGTCTCTTAACTATTTATAATGAAAATTGGCATTTGGGTATAGCCAGCACAGCAATGTTCTATATCCCTAAGATTGTATAGGTAGGACATTTCAAAGATGACACCTGTCATTCTGGAGCTCCTACTAGAGAAAACTGTAAAAGGGTGACCTTGTCGGAAGGAGCTGAGTCCTCCCCCTGAGGTTCTCTTTTTCTTGGTGCTTTATTAGCAACTCTGGATATTTTTATAAAACTAGTTACATTATAAACTAATTCAGTCTTGTTTAATTTACATTAGGTTTTATGTAAGGAATGTCATCGAAATACCCAACGAGCAGGCTTATTGCAGTAGACGCAGACAGGGCCAGTGTAGCTGAGTCTGTTCGTGGTGAGAAGAACATCCCAGTGCCTTTAACCTGAATTTCTAATCTTAAGTGAAATGGGTGCAGCATTCCTTTGGGAAAAAAGCTTCCACTTGGTAATTTTGTGTTTTTCTCACCTAAGTATTCCCCAAAGCACCAACCTTCTCTTCCTTCTTGGTCAGTCAGTATATTACAAGATTATTTTTCCATAAAATGAAATCATTACAGGTTGTCTCTAGAGTACAACCAGAGGAATGTTTCTTAACTGCGGGGACCAAAAGGGAGAGAGCCTGGGCTCTACAAGGGTAGATTTATAATAAAATGTTTGAATAATCTTAAATTAAGACATTATTGGTCCCGTGATTTCTTGCTTAATATTTTTCCAATTTGTCATTTGAATGATTCTATTAAAGTTATGTGGGTATTTTATTTTTAAAGGTATTATAGTTTGTATATTTAACAGTAAGGGGGAAAGTGTAACCAAAATTAGTATTCTCTCACTATACATATTGGTACTTGAAAATTCCTTTAAAAAACAAACAAAAAACTCAGCCTTTTAGTGCTTAATTCCTCATTTTAACATGTGATCTTTTAATTGAAAAGCTGTGTTATTTTTGAGTACCATGCATGAGGGGTTAAGCTGATGTTCAAACAGTTTGCAATAAAAAAACCCAATCAGCTTAAGTCATTCAATCATTTCAAGTGCATTCTGCATCCTTTAAAAGTAAGTTTGTGAGATTTTAAGAGAATTGTGTTTTCATTAAGTTTTGCGTATCTTTTGTTATGCCATGTAAATTCCCTTTTTCATATGATTAAAGGAAGGGTATGATGAAATGATTAGTTCATACATTCACTTGTAGCAGTTATCAATGAGAATTTGAATTTTGTCGTGTTTGGGTTTGTTCATTCCTGTGAATGATGGTACAGTAGGTGAGATTTTTTTTTTTTTGTTATGGTACCGAACTCACCATTTGGTCCTCTTTAATCTTTGAGGGTTTCAATAAAAATTGTTCACTCATATCTGTGTTCTTTTTATCTTTATAAATATGTCTTGCTCTCTAGAAGTTTTTTTTTTTTTTGCCTATTACAGTTTCCCTGATTGGCAATTGCATGTAAGTTACTCGTTTTTGTTGGTCATTTAAATGAAGTGAATTAAAGACAAGAAATGTCCCTTTATCTCATGTAAGCAAACTGTTGACTTACATGTTCTTAATACTTAATGATAGAAAAGAGGAAGAGAGGGGCCCCTCCCCTTTAAATGTAATAGGAAAGTAATGGCAGCCGTCTAAAAACATATCTCCTTGGCCCCAAGGAATGCTTTTCTAACAATTTTTACATTTTCTTTTAGAATTAAGGAATTTATGTGGGTGGTCATCGTAATTCTGAATGGTATGTTTTTTATTAGCCTAGCTCTTTTTAAAACATTTATTCAGGCCGGGTGGTGGTGGTGCACACCTTTAATCCCAGCACTAGGGAGGCAGAGGCAGGTGGATCTCTGTGAGTTTGAGGCCAGCCTGGTCTACAAGAGCTAGTTCCAGGACAGGAACCCTCCCCCCCTCCAAAAAAAAAAAAAAAAGCTACGGAGAAACCCTGTCTCGAAAATCAAAAAAAAAAAAAAAACCATTTATTCAGGTAAGAAAAGTAAAACTTTAGTTTTTTATTCTCAAAACTGGTTGTGTGTATACAAAAATGACTGCCTGTGTCTGGTGCATCCACCTCCGTAGCAGCAGGAGCCTGGATTTGGTCATCTCCCCAAGAGAAAGTGTGTATTTCATCATTGTACATAGAACTGAGGTCAGCCATTCCTCACCTGCAGTTAGAACCTGATTATTTTTCACTGATCGTCTCAGTTTGAATTTGAAAATTCTGTTCTAGGAACTAAGATATTCTTAGGGTTAACTGATCAAGGTGGTTTGATTTTTTTTTTTTTTTTTTTTTACATTCTGTTCATTTTGAGACACAGGATAGATTTGTATCTAGGGGATGTAGAAATACATCACGTGAGTTTGATCTAGCTGGTGCCCGACACTGAGCCAGTCTGTTATTAGTGTGCAAATAGAATGTAGCTAGGAATGCATTTTTCAGATTTTGTAGCATGATTTATTTAGATAATTAGAGAATTTTGATAATTTGTAGGCTATGGTAGTATATAACAATGTCAAATGTTTCTCCTTTGAAAGTAAGTTTGGCCACCCATACGATTTTTCTGTATTGTATTCAGAATATTGAACACATGTCCCCAAAACATGTCCATTTTTTTTTTGTTCTGCCATTTGACAGTATCTTTTTATTCTTCATAAATCAGGTTAGAGCAGTTTTACAGAAAATGTGAAAAGATCTCAGAGTTCTTAACTACCTTGTACCCAGCTCTCCTAGTTTCAGATATCTTAGAAATTTGTGAGTATAGACCCTTCACTTCCTAAATGACACTTTAAAACTTTCCTTAGTTTTTACCTAATGCTCCTTTTGTCAGGATCGCCCCAAGAACACCGTGGCATTTCTAGTTTTCACATCTCCTTGGTGGTTATTTTTTTTTTGGGCTTCTGTTTAATGATGATGATCGATACTGTGTAGAATGTTTCTCCTCTGGAATCTGGCTGGTTATATGGTTTATAAGCTTGAGGGAGGAGGACTACACATGTGAAGGGCTTTTCTTTTTCTTCCATATATCAAGACTGAATACAGTAACATGCTGTTGATGTTGACTGCCTGAGATGGGTTTGTCAGCTTTCTTATGTACAGTGTACTTGTTTCTTGTGTATGGTGCCTGAAGTTAAACCTAAGAGTCTAACACATTCTAGTAAAATACTGTATGGCTGACCTAATTAGCTTCTCTTTGTCTTGTGAGACAAGGATGTGTTGGCTAACCCTGAACACCAGCTTTTTTGAATTGAGAAGTAGCTTATAAGATTGTGAAGCACACCCCTGGGGTGCCTCTGTGAGAGCGAGGACTTTCCCAGGTAAGACTTGAGGTCTCAGATGTAATAAAAGGAGGAGGACAAAGAAGTGTAGCCATCTCCACTTCCTGGCCACTGTGATGTCACTCCTCTGCCATGATAAATCCAGGAAGCAGAAATGTTTTGTTTCCTCAGGTATTTGGTCACAGTATTAGAAAATGTCTAACTAAAGCACAGGGTCTTTGTGTGACTCACTCTGCCCTCAGATTATCATCTGCCCTTTGCCTCCTTCCACGAGTGCAGCTGTGCATCCCAGTGCCCTGCAGGCTGCTACTCTATTCAAAGGCAGCCACAGTTCACATTTGAGTGGAGAATTGGTATACTATATTTTATGCAGAAACATAGGAATCTTAGTTATTCACTCTCAGTTGCTGAAAGCTTGTATGCCAGTATTTCCCCTTTAGAAAGATACATCACCTCACTTCCTCTACCCTTTTCAAGGGGACAGCAGAGATCTTTGAAGGAATTTTCATAGGCCTTCTACCCATTTCAAGTGTAATTGTATGAAGAAGCAAGGATTTTACTAAAGGGGTAGAAGATAAGCAAGTGTTAGGTCATGGGGGAGGTTGTTCTGGCTATTGTATGTGAGTAGGAAGTGATAATCATTCAGCTTTTGCTGGAGAAAAATCGGAGGTAGGAGATGTGTGCTGTTGTAATTGGACTGGTGTTTCCCTTTAAAAGGAAAAAGTGAAATAGTGTAGCATCTTTTATAATTGAATCTTTTTTATATGCTTTTAAAAATCAACATAGCATTTGCACATGTTTGTGTGGTTCGTGATATCTGTCTATAACATGTAACAATCAGGTGAAAATAGCTGTCATGTCTGTCATTCTGACTTAACTAACCATTAACTGTTGTCAGTTGTAGCTTCTTTACTGTGTGATAAGGCAGTGGAGTGCCTAAATGACAGAATCAAGGGGGTATTTGTAGAGAAACCACCTCTCTTCCCCACTCTTCCCAGATTCTGATAAATCACCACTGTTTTATGCTCTCAGAGGTCATGTAGATTATGCGGTATTTGCCTTTCTGTGCCTGGCTTACTCTGCTTGCCATAATGTTGATGAACTTCTTTTGAACATTCTAAGGTGATTTTATTTATGTATTTATTTATTTATTTATTTTTGATTTTTCGAGACAGGGTTTCTCCGTAGCTTTTGGTTCCTGTCCTGGAACTAGCTCTTGTAGACCAGGCTGGCCTCAAACTCACAGATATCCGCCTGCCTCTGTCTCCCGAGATTAAAGGTGGTGATTTTATTATAATGGGCAAGAGCATGAGCTTTGTGGAGGTGGATAACTAACTAACTGTTCCTGGAATCCGAGAATCCTGCCTAAGTCAGTCTTTATTTTCTGGTGGGTTAAGAGAGCAAATAGTAAAATAATGATAATAAAATTTATTTCAAAATTATTAAATGAGATAAATATCATCATGCATTTGGTTCTGTCCCTGGGCTTTATGCCCTCAAATGTTAGCTATTAGGTCTTCCCACCTCAACCAATCTGGATTAGAGTGGGTCTTACCACTTCAAATGATTTAATTAAGAACCAAAGCCCCTCGCAAGTGTGCCTAGTCATTTGGGTTTTATTTAATTCCATATGCAGTCAAGTTGACAACCATGGGTTGCCATCACAACAATCAAAGTTAGAAAGTGAGATTTTGACAAAAGTTATTCTGAATAGCACAGTGATTCAGGTTTCAAAAGACAAGCATGTCACACTGCCTTTGCTAGTTTAGTAACTTTGATGCTCAACTTAGACTTCACTCTTAATTGAGTCTTTAGATAATTTGCTAATAGTAATGTCAGTAGTGTCAAATTTTACAAAATTTACATAATTTGTGGCGATGTAAAGTTAATTATTCTTAAATATTAACTGGTCATCTCAAGACCTTTCTACACACCAAGCAAACCTGAAGATGTTTTCTTCCTGTGGGTTAGGTACTGGCATTCACTATGACATTGTAAGTCAGAACAAAGAGTAAAGCACTGCTTCATTTAGTGGAATGACCGGGTTGTCTTCTGCATTCAGCCTGTTGCAGCATCTCTTGTCACATGAAAGGAAACACGTAAAGGAGCTCAGTGTGTCCCTTCTGATCCATCTGGCACTGGGTCTCCTTTAGAGAGCTTTGTTAATTATGTATCCTGTTTGCTTCTGTGGTATGGTGGTGCATAGTCTTTACACACACACACACATACACACACACTCTGTCTCTCTCATTCACTCACCCACATACTAAATTTTTAGAACATTGATCATGGACTGCACCCCCAAATCCAACATCCCCAGTTCCCATATGTGGAGTAGCCAGGCTTCCAGACATAAAAAAAGCTGGGTGGTGGTTCTTTGATCCCAGGACTGAGCAGGCAGAGGTGGCGGATCGTGTGAGTTTGAGTCCAGCCTGGTCCACAGCAAGCTGCAGGACTGTCAGGGCTATACTGAGAAACGTTGTCTCAAAGAACCAAAATAAATAATACTAAAATGAAAAAGTTGGTCTCTTTCCACTCTCAGTATAGATGGATTTTCTTTGGCAGTTCTACTGGATAAGTTCCACCACACCCAGGCCCTCTGGCCGTCGTAGCAGTGAACACCCCCTCCTCTTGATCTTGCTGTACCCAGTCGCGTGCACTTCTCACTGAGAATATCCGTTCAGTGGATTTGCAGTCGGCTTTGGTTGCTGGTTTCCCTTTTCCTTCCTACCGTCTCACCACCCATCCTCACACCTCATAAAGGTTTAACAAGCAAACGCACTTTGGATTTTCCTATTCTGAAATGTACAATGTTATTCAGACTTATTCTGACCTCATGGGTTCAGATGATCTTCCTGGCTCAGCCTCTGAGAAGAGCAAAGACTTACAGGTGCACACCTGCTGTCCTGATTTGTATATTGAGAGGGACTTTTGTGAGAGTAATATGGATGTTACTTTAGTCTTGCTTTTCCTTTGATAACAAAAATGACTACCCAGTGGTCAAAAGAGTAAAAATCATTTTTCTAGCTTACGGTGTTTTGGATAAGATTTCCAGTCAGGAGTCATGTCAGGAGCTAAGCAGTTCTGTGCAATTTGA